AACCAACCTCGCAATAACCCTTGCCCTAACCTGAACGCTGTTTAAAAAGTTAAAACCACCCCTTTCTCACGTAGTCTCACGTAGTATCACGTACCTGTTACTTATAATATGCAGTATGTCTTGTAGCCTTGTCAGTGCTCCAGCGTTCCTGTTCGTTAGTTTTTTGAGTGTTGTTAGTAGTCTCCGTTGAAGCTAACCCTAGCCCTCACCTGAACTTTAAAACTAGCCCTTACCTCATATTGTGTCCCTAGCCCTACCAGCTAACCCTAGCCCTCACCTGAACTTTAAAACTAGCCCTTACCTCACATTGTGTCCCTAGCCCTACCAGCTAACCCTAGCCCTCACCCGAACTTTAAAACTAGCCCTTACCTCACATTGTGTCCCTAGCCCTACCAGCTAACCCTAGCCCTCACCTGAATTTTAAAACTAGCCCTTACCTCACATTGTGTCCCTAGCCCTACCAGCTAACCCTAGCCCTCACCTGAACTTTAAAACTAGCCCTTACCTCATATTGTGTCCCTAGCCCTACCAGCTAACCCTAGCCCTCACCTGAACTTTAAAACTAGCCCTTACCTCATATTGTGTCCCTAGCCCTACCAGCTAACCCTAGCCCTCACCCGAACTTTAAAACTAGCCCTTACCTCACATTGTGTCCCTAGCCCTACCAGCTAACCCTAGCCCTCACCCGAACTTTAAAACTAGCCCTTACCTCATATTGTGTCCCTAGCCCTACCAGCTAACCCTAGCCCTCACCCGAACTTTAAAACTAGCCCTTACCTCATATTGTGACCCTAGCCCTACCAGCTAACCCTAGCCCTCACCTGAATTTTAAAACTAGCCCTTACCTCACATTGTGTCCCTAGCCCTACCAGCTAACCCTAGCCCTCACCTGAATTTTAAAACTAGCCCTTACCTCACATTGTGTCCCTAGCCCTACCAGCTAACCCTAGCCCTCACCTGAATTTTAAAACTAGCCCTTACCTCACATTGTGACCCTAGCCCTACCGGCTAACCCTAGCCCTCACCTGAATTTTAAAACTAGCCCTTACCTCACATTGTGTCCCTAGCCCTACCAGCTAACCCTAGCCCTCACCTGAACTTTAAAACTAGCCCTTACCTCACATTGTGTCCCTAGCCCTACCAGCTAACCCTAGCCCTCACCCGAACTTTAAAACTAGCCCTTACCTCACATTGTGACCCTTGCCCTACCAGCTAACCCTAGCCCTACCGGTTAACGCCTGTTTATGAACTTAGGAACCATTCCGTACTCTAGTACTCGTTATATAAAGTTGCCTCGTCACTGCTTCGTTCAGTACTAATCGTTAGTTTTTGAGCGTACGAATTACGAAGTGTCTGTACTCTCTGTTGAAATCTAACCCACTAGATATATATTCAGTGCCATCCTTTCGGTAGCGTCTCCTCAGTAACAAATCTTACATTAAATAGTGTTATGATGCTATACACTTCAGTAGTAGGAGTCGTTGTCATCAAGCCACCACGCCCGATATATGTTTCTTGGTAACTACTGGTAACTACTGGTAACTACTGGTAACTACTGGTAACTACTAAATATCAGTGGTGTATTGTTTCTTTTAAATTCCTGTAATGGCCTGAACCGTTAAGTTGATTACCTAATCAAGAGTTGAAACAGGCTGTAAATAGAATGTGATGACAATGTTATCTGTACCTCCAGGGAGTCCGAAGTATAAACACGGTACACAAGGAATAGACACAGATAATGACATAATATTATGGTCAACTGTTGTACGTCTAGATAGTGCCAACTCCACCCCAAACTACAGAGGTTATTTAGTGACTGTAGTAACATATTCTGTAGTGACATATTCTGTAGTGACATATTCTGTAGTGACATATTCTGTAGTGACATATTCTGTAGTGACATCTTCTGTAGTGACATATTCTGTAGTGACATCTTCTGTAGTGACATCTTCTGTAGTGACATATTCTGTAGTGACATCTTCTGTAGTGACATATTCTAGTGACATCTTCTGTAGTGACATCTTCTGTAGTGACATATTCTGTAGTGACATATTCTGTAGTGACATATTCTGTAGTGACATATTCTGTAGTGACATCTTCTGTAGTGACATATTCTGTAGTGACATCTTCTGTAGTGACATATTCTGTAGTGACATATTCTGTAGTGACATCTTCTGTAGTGACATCTTCTGTAGTGACATATTCTGTAGTGACATATTCTGTAGTGACATATTCTGTAGTGACATCTTCTGTAGTGACATCTTCTGTAGTGACATCTTCTGTAGTGACATCTTCTGTAGTGACATATTCTGTAGTGACATCTTCTCATGTCACTCTCAACACAGACCGGGTAGTAGCTAGTAGTTATGTTGTTTAACTAACTACAGACAGTCCAACATATGGTGGGAGATATAACCACCAGTCACCACACCGCATTGCGCCCACGTGACTGGGATATAACCACCAGTCACCACACCGCATTGCGCCCACGTGACTGGGATATAACCACCAGTCACCACACCGCATTGCGCCCACGTGACTGGAATATAACCACCAGTCACCACACCGTATTGCGCTCACGTGACTGGGATATAACCACCAGTCACCACACCGCATTGCGCCCACGTGACTGGGATATAACCACCAGTCACCACTTTACCTTCTGTTATACCTCACACGAAGTTGATGACGTCACCAAAACAGCTGATTAGATAGCGGAGGTGGTATGTTCTGGAACAAAGTGCCCAGTTTTCAGAAGAAGCTAGTTAAACTGTTAAAGAATCAGTCTGGAGAAATCCCCAGACAATTTAATCTATAAAAACCCATGGTAACCATGGTTTCAAGATGCAAGCAATTTATTGCACGGCCCTCCCTTCACTGTGACGCTTTCAGTAGAAACCTATTGTGACACGTACTCTGTTACAACCACGTGTCACGTACTACGTCACAACCACGTGGCACGTACTACGTCACAACCACGTGGCACGTAACAGTGAGCAGTATCAATATAAATAGTCTTAGGTTTTACTTTTTAGTCCACTGTCACAGTTCTGTTCTGCATGTTGTCACAGTTCTGTTCTGCATGTTGTCACAGTTGCTGCATGTTGTCACTGTTCTGTTCTGCATGTTGTCACAGTTGCTGCATGTTGTCACAGTTGCTGCATGTTGTCACAGTTTTGCGCATGTTTCATGTCTGTCCCATTTTAACATTGTAGATGATTCTGTTGCATGATTTAATGTTGCATGTGCAAGTCCCCGTTGTCACATTGCTGATTTGTCACAGTTCAGTCGATGTTTTGGGATCCTATTCTGTAAAACTATGCTATATTTAAAAGATATAATTGTAAAGACCAATGGCCAATCAGATGACATGGCTGCCCACACGTGTCAAAACAACCCACCAATAGAGCAGCTGAACAACCCCCACGTGTCAAAACAACCAACCAATAGAGCAGCTGAACAACCCCCACGTGTCAAAACAACCCACTAACAGCCTTTTCCTCGTACGGTTCCAGTCCTCCTGACTCAACACACTAAATACACACACTGCTACACACTGGCAGGGAGGTAATGTGTCCCTTACTTCCTGCACTATGCTGAACTCCCCATTTCACCGGTTTTGTGTCCCATTATTAGTCTGTAGTGCGTCCCTTCATGTTGTAGTTCTGAGCTTCTGAGTCACTGGTTGACATTGCCAAATGTGAGAATCTAGTGATTGCTTGTTTTTCTTGACCCTTATTTTTCTCTCAGAGATACTTCTACTGTTTTATTTTTAGTAGTACTAGTAGTGCAAGAATTTTGCAGACCAGCGACCATTTTTATTGCAAAAAGGTTATAATAAAATGACGTGAATTAGCTAACTCCTAGACTCCCTTTAATATTGGGATGGTTTTGCAATGATCGTTAGAATTATAACCTTTGTGGGTGGTATAAATACAGGAAATTCCCTTCTGTTACATCTTCAGTTGGCTAACTAGTATCTAGTGACTAGTGACTAGTGTAGACTGTTTTAATTAATAACGAATTGCTGATTTCTGAACTGTTTTAATTAATAACAAAATGGATGATTTCTTAACTAAGAAGTCGTCACCGCAGGGCCACAGTAGTTTAATTGTTGAAACACTTTGCAAAGTATCAATTACGTTGCACAGCGCACGTGTTACCGAATTGCCCACGTGCTATTATTCAGGACATGTTCCCAGCCCCTTACCCCAGACTACTCTTTAACCACCTTCCTGGGCCACTAGTTGTAGTTTAATCAAACCGTGAAACTCGGAAACCTGGAGATCCTACTTTTGCAGCAATATTTACCTATTTTGGTAATATAAATTGGATGTTGAGTCATATTGTTCCGAATGTTAGGATATTATCGGTTACTATGGTAACTATTTGATGATTTAAAAGTCGTGCCTTAAAGGCGTAGGTTCATTTTCATTTTTGATTTATTGCTCTTGCGGCCTCTGATTTTTTGGTTGATCATCAACCCGAATCGCTTAATTCCAATAAAATAATACAATAAAATAATACTATAAAATCGACCAAGATTATGATTTATGACGTTTTTGTTAAAATGTACCGTCATTAATTACCAATTTTGGAAGGTACTTTCTCTCGAAATTTTGATGAAAGCCCGTGGATTCAGTTAACGTGTTATTCGCTACTTTTTTTTACTCTGCCTCTAAGGCCCCATCTTTTTTACTACTCCTATTTTTATTACCGATTCTTATTCAACGTTCATCACTATAACTCGTTTACTTTTACTTATTTTTTACTTATTTACTTACTAAGACTCAATTTATATAGCGTCAAACTTTTTGATTTATAACCTATATATGATAAAATATAATTTGAAAAATAAATTTAAAATGCTAACAATTTAACAAACATTAAACTAACAATATAATAAATACTAAACTAACTATATAATAAGGCAATAAACATTAAACTACTCATTAAATAACATTAAACATTAAACTAACTTGTCACCTCCCCCCTTGTAGGACAGGTATTCCCGTTCAACTGAAGATCCCTCGCTTAATCTCCACCTCCGGAAACCCAACTTCTGGTTAGTACAACGTTTACTTACTTTTTAATTACAACTTTAATTAACCTTTTTATTAAAAATCAACAATTACTCTTATTTACCTTTTTATTGAAACATGTTGTTCGTAAACTTTTTGGACCATTCAAAAAGAGGTACGTAAACGTTTTGGACCGCCTAAAAAGCGACTGATTCTAGATAAATCCGATAAACAGGGTAAATAGAATTTTTCTCTCTCTCTCTCTCTCTGAGTGCTTTTCTAGAACTCCGCCCATAAACCCTACTGACATTTAAACGGCCGTCTTACAATCTGCTCTTTACATCACTTTGATAACGTTCTCTTTCTAGGAAAACATTATTGGCTCATCGTTTCTTTTATATTTGTCGTGCGTACCCTCTTAGCTTTTAATATCTTTTCGACAACTCCCTCAATAAAGAGTCAGACTGCAACAATTCCCTCTCTAGATATGCAGAGAGCTCGATTATTAAACAATTCCCTGTGAGGAGAATTGTTTTTATAATTTCGTGAAAAGGTTTCGTTTCTAAAGCCGTCCATCATTTTAGAGTTTCACCAAAGTCTAAACCCGATCCTACAAATCTAGTACGTCCTATTATGGTGGTGACATTATTATGAGCTTGACATGTGAATCTAGCCGGCGTATTTTAGGCTCCGTTTACCAACCTATATACCTCTTAGTCTAAGGTTAGACTTGCACTTTTAAGAGTTTGATAGTTTTAAATTCTGAAACTTAGTGACATTGACTTGCCAGTTGCCTCTACAATCTATATTCAACAGGTAACATGATGTTATTGCGTTTTGATACTTCAGCACGGCTATAAAGTAGAAATTGTAACAAATCATGAAGTTTAATAGTGGTGAGAAATCGAGGAACTTACATTTAGTCTTTTGTCGGGCGGGACACCACGACCGAGGAACAATTCTACTTTTTCAAGATACAATTGCATCTGATTTTACGAATTTTGGCTTGATGATGTTTAGAGGGATTACTTAGTATCTGGCTTGTCAAGTAACAGGATTCCATGAAGCGTCACATGTCACACACATGTCACACGTGTCACACACATGACACGTCACATGGTATACTTAATACTACCTGAGGGTGGCAACTGTTAAGTTGTAACTTGGAGAATTGTTGAGCTCTAACTCTACAAATATTAGTGTTAAGTTTTACAGGTTAGATCGCATAGTCCATCATTATCTCTAGGCGATTTTACGGTTTGATCTGTTTGGTGAGCTAGTAAACTGGTGTTTACTAACTAACTACTTTACAAACTGGTGTTTGGTTGCTCGAGTTACTTAGTCTTGTTTCTTCTGGATAATGATGATTAATAAAAGTGTGGGCAGTGTTTTGCGTACATATTAAGTTTCGTTAATTTAGTATCTGTTGTGTTTTCCCTTTGGTTTGTTAGCTCAGTTCTCCTTTTCGTCTTGAACACGACTAGCCCGTTGCTGTCGAGTTAGGAGACATTTCTGCAGCTAGTTTGTTGTCTGATTGCGGGAAATTCTGATTCTTGAGCTTGTTGAAACCTTGTTACTTGGTCGGATAGGCTCTTGCAACTAACCAGCCGGGGAGTTGTCAGCTTCACACAACAAATCACAACCTCTCAGATTCCATAACCTGTCCTGATTAGTCGTGTAATATCTTTCCTTGTGTTCCAAATTTTGCAAAGATACAGTGGTTGTCAAATGTCAGGTTCGCCTGCTTCACGTTTCTGTCCACGTAATTTAACTATTTTAATATTACACAGAAGCTGTTTGGTTGCTGTTCTCAAACAATTTCCAAGTTTTGTGTTGCATCCTTTCATTGCCACTTAAACCAAAACGCTTGTCAATTATCGTAAGACATAGGTTTCTGTACTCAAAACATTTCCAAGTTTGGCACTTTGGTCTAGTTAAGTCATGGTCATCAAAACGATTGTCAACTATCTTTAGAAACCGATACTTAAGATCATTCCAAGTTTGGTATTCCAGTCTACCAAAGCCGATAGAAGTCAAACTGATGTCGACATCAGGAAGTGGTAGGTTCTAAGCTGATCGTTTATGCGTCATCTTCAACTCTCGCTATTAAACAGAATCTGATCATATATGGGCCTAAACTACTGCTCTCCAAGTTTCCTGAGTTGAGACAGTTTTAATTTGACGGTTTGAATGTTGACGATATCTTCAGAAAAGGGTTACAAATCCTCCTAATCACATGTTGATCTGACTAAATTCTGACAGTTTAACCTTGAAACTATTTGCATTCCAGCATAATTCATTAATTATGCTAAATATTCAGCTCCCATAGTGACATTGATGATGATAGTATCTTGCTGACGACATTAAATATCGATCCTGACAATTTGCATGCGTTCACTTCTCTTAGCTACTTTTATCATAATATATGACAGTTTCTGCTAATAATAATTCTGCTGATTCTCCAACAGTGTCAAATATGGTGGTAGGTACCCTCAACCCCTGACCTGTTAAACCCCGCTTCAGAATCCAATTTTAGTTGCTAAATGTTGTCTAGGATTTGTTGTTGTTGATCTTGTGTGCAAAATACCAAAGATATGGATTCCTTTTGGACAAAGTTGGTCACTGGTAAGGATGCTTGTTCTTAATTTGGACGCTTAATATCAAAACATGATCGAGCTCTGACAAAGTAATTAAACCTGTGTAATGTCTGAGGACACCCTTTTATTTGTCTTTTGTTTGCACACAGTCTACTTTGGTACCATCTGTACTCTGTATGTACCATCTATAAGTACCATCTGTAGGTACCATCTGTAGGTACCATCTGTAGGTACCATCTGTAGGTACCATCTGTAGGTACCATCTGTAGGTACCATCTGTAGGTACCATCTATAAGTACCATCTGTAGGTACCATCTGTAGGTACCATCTGTAGGTACCATCTGTAGGTACTATCTGTAGGTACCATCTGTAGGTACCATCTGTAGGTACCCTGACTGTAGGTACCCTGACTGTAGGTACCATCTGTAGGTACTATCTGTAGGTACCATCTTTAAGTACCATCTTTAGGTACTATCTTTAGGTACCATCTTTAGGTACCATCTGTAGGTACCATCTGTATGTACCATCTGTAGGTACCATCTGTAGGTACCATCTGTAGGTACCATCTGTAGGTACCATCTGTAGGTACCATCTGTAGGTACCATCTGTAGGTACCATCTGTAGGTACCATCTGTAGGTACCATCTGTAGGTACCATCTGTAGGTACCATCTGTAGGTACCATCTGTAGGTACCATCTGTAGGTACCATCTGTAGGTACCATCTGTAGGTACCATCTGTAGGTACCATCTGTAGGTACCATCTGTAGGTACCATCTGTAGGTACCATCTGTAGGTACCATCTGTAGGTACCATCTGTAGGTACCATCTGTAGGTACCATCTGTAGGTACCATCTGTAGGTACCATCTGTAGGTACCATCTGTAGGTACCATCTGTAGGTACCATCTGTAGGTACCATCTGTAGGTACCATCTGTAGGTACCATCTGTAGGTACCATCTGTAGGTACCATCTGTAGGTACCATCTGTAGGTACCATCTGTAGGTACCATCTGTAGGTACCATCTGTAGGTACCATCTGTAGGTACCATCTGTAGGTACCATCTGTAGGTACCATCTGTAGGTACCATCTGTAGGTACCATCTGTAGGTACCATCTGTAGGTACCATCTGTAGGTACCATCTGTAGGTACCATCTGTAGGTACCATCTGTAGGTACCATCTGTAGGTACCATCTGTAGGTACCATCTGTAGGTACCATCTGTAGGTACCATCTGTAGGTACCATCTGTAGGTACCATCTGTAGGTACCATCTGTAGGTACCATCTGTAGGTACCATCTGTAGGTACCATCTGTAGGTACCATCTGTAGGTACCATCTGTAGGTACCATCTGTAGGTACCATCTGTAGGTACCATCTGTAGGTACCATCTGTAGGTACCATCTGTAGGTACCATCTGTAGGTACCATCTGTAGGTACCATCTGTAGGTACCATCTGTAGGTACCATCTGTAGGTACCATCTGTAGGTACCATCTGTAGGTACCATCTGTAGGTACCATCTGTAGGTACCATCTGTAGGTACCATCTGTAGGTACCATCTGTAGGTACCATCTGTAGGTACCATCTGTAGGTACCATCTGTAGGTACCATCTGTAGGTACCATCTGTAGGTACCATCTGTAGGTACCATCTGTAGGTACCATCTGTAGGTACCATCTGTAGGTACCATCTGTAGGTACCATCTGTAGGTACCATCTGTAGGTACCATCTGTAGGTACCATCTGTAGGTACCATCTGTAGGTACCATCTGTAGGTACCATCTGTAGGTACCATCTGTAGGTACCATCTGTAGGTACCATCTGTAGGTACCATCTGTAGGTACCATCTGTAGGTACCATCTGTAGGTACCATCTGTAGGTACCATCTGTAGGTACCATCTGTAGGTACCATCTGTAGGTACCATCTGTAGGTACCATCTGTAGGTACCATCTGTAGGTACTATCTGTAGGTACCATCTGTAGGTACCATCTTTAGGTACCATCTTTAGGTACCATCTTTAGGTACCATCTTTAGGTACCATCTGTACTCTGTATGTACCATCTGTAGGTACCATCTGTAGGTACCATCTGTAGGTACCATCTGTAGGTACCATCTGTAGGTACCATCTGTAGGTACCATCTGTAGGTACCATCTGTAGGTACCATCTGTAGGGGTGTTATAGTGCGTACCCTTCTCCCTGATGATATAAATATTATTGTTTCAGTATACGACCAGATAGAGCTAGGACCAACTAGAGCACACGAGCAAGCAGCTGGTATTACCCCCACTACTACTACCTACAAACAACCCGCTCCAGGTCAGAGTAGTTAATTAGTTGTTAATTAGCTAATTAGTTAATTGATTAAGCAGTGAGTTTTGATTGTAACATTGATTTTGTTGTGAAAAACATAGTTTTTGGTGCTTCTCCTTCGCAAAACATTGAGCTTTAGCAATTAGCAGTTTGAATAGATTTGATTTTAATTAAGTGAACAGAGTACGAAAAAGCTACACCCGTCTAAAAGATAACTCATCAAAAATAGAGTCAAATAATTGATTTTTCGAGTGTTTCACATTATTTTCACAGCTTTCTTATTTTAGGCAGCATCGCTAAAGTGTCTCTTACTGTGAACGAGAACAGAGTCTCTACTCGACGTAAGACACACAGTCCACCACCTCGAGTATCACTTAACAGCGGACAGGTACATTTATACATTTATACATTTATACATTTATACATTTATACATTTATACATTTATACATTTATACATTTATACATTTATACATTTGTACATTTGTACATTTATACATTTGTACAATTATACAATTATACATTTGTACATTTGTACATTTATACAATTATACAATTATACATTTGTACATATTTTGTACATTATACATTTTAGTTCGTCCACTAGAAGATATTTCCGTCATACTTATTGCTTCGTGAAAAAGGAGATTTAATTAAGGTCGCTGCCATTTTAAATTTGTTGTGATCACTCCGACAATATCTCTTGGTTTGGGTTTGGTTTATGATACCTTACTCGGGAATATTATGACTGGGATAAAGTGGTGGGTTTTGGAAAATTCCGCCATATTTTTCCCGGTCATTAATTTTCCCAGTCATAAATTAACCCGATATAATATTCCCGGGTAAGGTAACCAATTTTGATTTCGGCTTTGCTACAGTGCTACTCATCAATTAAATATTTTTCTTAACATTAACTTAATTTCAGGTTACATCGAGACCTAAATCAGTACACGTAACTTGCAGTCGAGACAACGGTGTCAACATGAAAGATCTGGAAGGAAATGGTGGGTTTTAATTACTAATTAGTGTAATTAGTGTAGATAGTAATTAGCGGTTAATTAAGCCGATTTGTTTTGGCATGATTGTTGTAATTACTCGTGACATCAACCAGATTGGCAGTGATTTGCATATAATCTGAATTGTATCTGAAACATTGTTTGGATTGCAGTTATTAGACCATTATTCTCCATTGTACTAGAGAACTATTTTAGCATTATATATTGTTCTATAAATTCTTCCATTTGCATTGTCCAGTCATTCTAGAATGACTGGACTCACAAAAGAGCTTACAACTCAAATATAGCATCTCTCTGTTGCCCTTTAATATAGAGCTCGTGATGCAATGCCTGCCACAATGCCTGCCACAATGCCATTACGAGATACAAGTCTCTGATACAAGTCTCTGATACAATTCTCTGATGTCTGTTAATAGGGTCCATTGTGCTATCTGCTTATTGTTAAGTGTCTTCCTGTACATAACTCTGACGTTGTTATGTATCTTTTTATGCAAGATTGAGTTTTTAACAGTCTCGTACGCAAGCAATCCGTTGCTCTTTACTCTTTAGTGTCATAGTTGTTGCTTTGTATCCAGTTTGAATGGACTATTTGATATTTCTACTTTGTAATCGTACGATTGCACTTTAGAGATACACCTATTACGACATTGTTAACAGTTTAGTAAGTTAAAACGAAATATTGTTTAGTTTAATTTAGACTTATTCGCAGTTCTTATGTATTTCACATTGAGTTATTAATGGTTACTAAGAGTTGTTTTTATTAACAATTCTCTTGTTCAGCAAGTGCACCGCCCAAGCCCCCAAAACCAAAGCACTACCGTCACAACTATAACTTTCCCCACGAAAAGGACCTTATCTACATCAACCTCGATAAGGGGTAAGTCTTATCTTTCTCACACTATCAACTTTGATTTATATTCTCAAATTACCTATGTTAAACCTTCAGATAATTTCCTGTGTTTGAGGTTTTAAATTGTCTTATCGTTGACTTGTATTCAACTTCACAAAAATATATTGTTCTCGTGTGAATGTATTGTTAAGTTTGATAAATTACTCAGTAACCATGGTGAATATTTAAACCTTTGTCCGTATCAAATTGTAACACTTACGACGGGTAATCTCATAAAATCCTTATCTAACATTGGTGCATAATTGGTGCCAGACTTACCTTGTGATTCGCTTGAACACTACCTCTTATACGCTTGAACACTATCTCTAATGCACGATCTCACAGTAACCTAGATTAACCCTCCAGTAGACGCCAGACGGGTTGAATTCTCTCCCTTTGTCTTATGCAGGACAGTAAAGACGGATTTAAGTTAACAGATTATTAGAGTGACAGCTTGAAGTATTGAGGTTACTCTGGGTACAAATTGGAAATTATACACGGTTAGCCCTCTCTAATTAACATGACTACAACACTTTAAATACTCAACAAGCAGGGCCTACTAAATCCCCTAAACGGCTAATAATTGCACGTGCAAGAAACATGACGCGCACAAATGAGATCACGTGACGAACCAGGGCTGGTCACGTGACCACTCCTAAAACCACGTGATTACCCTAAACCTACTCGACACCAGCAAGCCACGCTTCTTTCTCATGTAATTAATTTAATACCCTGGTCACGATGCTACATTACTATCTTTGAGCGGAGTAATGTTCGACTCTATTGGCTTACAAATCGTCAGTTTAGAGTTAATAATAATAATATTCCTGTCACGTGCTTTAATTTTGTCTGCCCGAACTTCTGTCAGGTCTTGCTCTCTCTCTCTTTTCTAATCCCTCTGTTACACTTCATGTAAAGTTGCTAATATGAGGTCGGGTGGTTCATTTGCTTGCCAGGATGCTCATTTTGTAGTTATTTGTCAGTCAGTCTAGCTATTTACCTGAGTGTACTGTATTGTACATTTTACTTAGAAAACGTTTGTTCCTCAAAATAATGATCAGTAATTTTCGGAATCCAATTAACATTGTTTAAGTTGTCTAATACCCCCCCCCCCCCCCCCCCCCCCCCCCCTATTTATACCCTTAAATTAACCCACATTAAACTAGGTATACCTGTGTCATTTGTAGTGTGTACTGTATAGTTTGTTTGATTTGAGCTTTCTTTTGCAATTATATCTCTCGATGGTGATCAGTAAGATTCGAACTCCGCTCAATATGTTTAAGTGTTCTATGATTTATAATTATTTATAATATTAATTATTTCTCATTATATCTCTAATAAAGATAATTATATCAGGTGTGATAAGATGATAGAAGTACTGTCGCCGACCCCACAGAACGACCTCAGCGAGGGTAGCAAGAGGACCCGTATCGTACAGTTCACCTACGATTCTAACAATCTCAACTCTGAGAAACATCGCAAACGCCAAGGTACGTGGATTAAGGACTCTTTGTATCCTTTAGATATAAAGATTAAAGGGGTATAGGCTCTATTAAGGGTAGAGGATGTGGTAGAGGCGTTAGTGAGGAAACTACAGTACAGTGGCGTAACTTCGGACCCCGCAGACCCCGCTGTGCGGGGGGGCGCCGTATAAGGGGGCGCAATTTTAGGCCCTTTCACTGAAAAAACGCCTTGTTTGTGTATTTCCCTGTCCAATTTAGCGTTCGGCCGACGCGAAAAAAATATTTGGGGTACCCTTTTTTGCTTCAGGGGGCGCAAAAAGCTGTAGGGGGGGGGCGAGAAAAAAAGTACCCGACCTTTTTTTTTTTTTTTTTAGGGACAACAAATTTTAGGGGGGCGCTTTTCGTCACTGAGCGGGGGGGGGGCGCCAACAAGCAAAGTTTCGCCACTGAATTGTGGTAGAGGCGTTAGTGAGGAAACTACATGTAGATTTAAGTAAAAAAGGTAAAACTCTACTCCCGAGTTCCTACTCAAAGTTGCATTTTCATAATCTACAGAACAATGTATCTAACTCCTAATCCTCCAGGACCAGCAGTGTTCCACGCGCCGCCACCGCCGCCAACCACCGCCTACGACGACGATCAGGAGAACATGCCAGTATTCCTGGCGGCGTCTCCACCTAACGGCCCCGTGTTTATCCCTCCTTCGCCACCTAACTGTCCGCCTTCTACTGACGGGAGTGACGAGGAGTACGAACTAAGCAGCTGCGCTGGTAAATATTTCATATTTAGTTATATATTTAGTTATATTTATCTATATTAATAAATATAAATAATATAATAATAATGTAATAATCATGTCATCATTTATTGATTATTTGATAATGTTTCATGTATTTTGAATTATAAAAGTTTAAATTGTATCCAAACACAAAATAATTAAACATGATCTAAAGAACAGTAATACGGTGTATGAGATCAGATGTGTTATCAGTATTAAGGTATTTGGGTCTGGCAGTTTTAAGATATTTGAGTAGCACTGTAGCAGATATTTTATTAGATAAGATATCTGATAAAAGGGTCAGGTTTCACGCCTTATCAAATTTCCCCCTTTTTTCTGTAGTATCCTCAAAAACCGTATCACTATCTAGAGTTACATGTGTCAAAACAATCTACAGTTTCATCGTGTGTTTGTCATGTTGTGTTTGAATTGCCGTTTACGTATTGCAAGGTTGTTGTCTCGCAAAGAATATCAGGATGATAACGACCCGGTTATCTCGCGGAGCAGGAACTCTGGTATTTCTTTATTATGATCAAATAATTATAGTATAGATATGCCAGAAATTTAAATCTTATCTTATCTATCAGAAATGTATCAGAAACATGACAACAATGTGACTCATTACTAATGTTCCTATCCGGATATTACATCAATATGCCATTTAATTCTTTACACTCTAATGCTTCTAATTCATGCATACTCTAAACGGAACAGTGTACCCGAACTCTAATTTTCTCTATGATATGTGGATGATGACAATATTTTGAGTTTGGTAAGGTATTTTGTGAGGATTCAGTTAGACGTTATGGGTTGTAATGGAATGTTTAAAAGTTATAAAATTCTCTTCAAAAACCTTGCCACCTTTCAGCATGACACCGTGACACGCTATATTTTATTATTTGAATTTGTACCAAGTATATAATAGCTATAATTAGCTTAGTCAAGATTCGGAATTTAACAGCATTGTAAAATATTATTGAAGATATTACGTGGTTTAGTCTATAAAATGTAATATACATAATATTGTAATGTACTTTATTCAGTAAAACCTTGAGCTCTGAAAGTTTAATTACCTAATTAAGCAATCTTTCGACAAAAATGTTTAGTCGGCGTTTACCATTTCAACATTCTCCTGATTCACCAAAAACCACCGAATAATAAAATTTAAACTTTACTCAAATCTTACGTTTTAAGTAACATATAGTGAGTAAATCTGGCTGATAGTTTGATACTTTAACCAAGGAAGTGAATCCTCCATCGGGAATTGTCAAATTTGCTTCCTCAGTGAACCATTTTCAATATAATTTGCGTTTTAATGCAATTATAAAACCAATTGATTATTAAAGTGTGGGATCAAGTAATGGCATAATTCTTAAATTCCACCGATTAGATCATAAAACCCAAATCAACGACAACCGCCTGGTACAAATTCCACCATATATTTTTCAAAACAAACGATTTAAGCTGTTTAAAATGACGCAGATTGTAACCAGGCACCTCTTTCAGGGTCGATGTACAGCAGCAAGAATAGCGTGGATCTCGGATCAGACTCGATACGGCTCCGACCCAACAGAGGACCCCGAGCTTCCGTCATGGACAAGGTTAAATCGGTTAGCTGCTATTTTATTGTAACTGGCACCCCCAGATCCACAGCTGCACAGTGCACGTTTCCACTGATTATAACGCGCTGTCAAAACCGTGAAACATACCTGTTATGAAAACAATTGCTGTATTCCTCGGTCGCTGAAATTAGGATTCCCCAAAAGATTATTTCCATATCATCCCTTTATTATCTTGTATCTGTTTCCTAACACACTTCCTCTCTCAGGTCAGATCAAGAGTATTCAAACTGGACCGACCAGGTCGACAATCCGTCAGAGCTAAACTATGTCAGAAACTCTCCCCTCACGTTTTACGTCTCACTGACTCACAAGACTTTACTTTCGCTGCAAGGGTCAACACGTTCGTCACGTTTGTGAAGCAGCAGCACCAGAAAGTTCCTGATAGACTCCTTAGCCAGGTAATTAGATAATAATTAACTGGTAATTAACTGGTTATTGGTTTGTAATAGGTTACATAATTGACTATGATGCTGTTTCAAGTGTTGGGAGTGTACCAATTATAGGGTGTAAGCGTGGTGTCGCAAATTGTCCTTTTCTTGTCCGGATCAGTGGATCAAGTAGGGAATGGTATTAACGAGTAGATATTCTGTCAAAGCCCTCATGGTAATATCTGTAAGTTTCAGTCGATTACTTTATCGCCTAATTAATTACTCTGTTATCTAATTAACCACACAATTAACCACCTAATAAACCTTCAGATCAGAGAGTTCATGTGCACGATAAAACACGAGCTCCTCTCGTACCGATCAGACGTAGTAGAAGACATGGTGTGTAGAGCCCAGAGAAAAGGGGGGCCTCCCACCAAACTGAACGATGTTCTAGAAGGAATCCTGGTTAAAGCGGTGATCTGGCCTCTCAGATCCTACATTAGCAAGGTGCTGCATGAGCATGATGAGCAGGAGGCTGAGAAGCTGAAGAATTCCATGACTGTGGCTCTTTCTAAACCTCACGAGGAACTCGGTTAGTGCTTTAGTTTTTACCTTTAGTGCTAACAATAAGTATATTCCCCTTATTAGGACTGATATTTCGACTGAATGTGTAATCTAAGTCTTGTCATATTTCTCACGTTAACCCCTCCTTCAATACCCCGCTTTTGCCAACCTCCTACCCCTCACTTTACTCCCTCGCATCTCAACTAACACTGCCTACAGGTATCAACAAGGACCTATTCTGTGGGGAGGAAATGGACTGGAGTGTACCTGTCCAATGTCTCCAAGACATGCCAAACCACTACAGTCCAATCAAGAAACTAGAGAGATTACTGGCCAGTGTTAATTCTATCTACACTATCGTTAGAGATCAGAATCTGGAGCACACGGGGGTGCCTCATACCATGGGGGCTGATGAGTTTCTACCTTTGTTTATCTACGTTCTGGCGCTCAGCGGTCTCCATACTGCTGGTATGTTTGCTTGTTATGTTGCAACTTTATTACATGATAAAACTAATGGTATTGGTGGTACATAACATCAATATCTATATATCGCTTACATGATTCACATTTACTGATACTTTAACCCATGTCTAACAGCCCCCTTTCTTCAGGACAGGAGGTAATGTACATGCAGTACCTGCTGGACCCCCCTCTCCTGATCGGAGAACCAGGATACTATCTCACCACCCTCGCATCCTCCATAATCCTTCTCAAGTCTCTCAACTTCGATAAGCCTCAGCATATTCTACCTACTGTGGGACATCTCCAGTCCATGTTACAGATCCACTTTACTGACCCTGACATGGAGGTTTGTGCTGTAGTTTGTGTTATAGTTGAACTATAGTTCCTCTCATTTTCTTATTTCATGGTCTTGTATATAAGATATAATTAACAATTTTAACCGTTTGGTTCAAATCTCCTTCTCTTAAGCCACCCATATTTAACATCATTTTAACATTATATTAACACTATTTTAACATTATCTTAACACTCCCATCCTCTCCAGGAGATCGCGTACAAGACCCTGCCAATCTGTCAAAACACCACAACATCAGACCTCCTCGCCACCCTCTCCACCAAGTTCCGGCTAGACCACATCGACAATTACGGACTATTCAAAGTAGAGGACGGAAGGGAGACTCTGCTGTCATCAGCGGAATGTCCGCAGTTTATCAAGAACGAGTGGTTTGTGGAGAGTTTGGAGAGGGATATCAACTCTTATTTTACTTTCCATAGGATCAACCGGTGATGTTAGGTGTTGGACCCGGTGATAGACGGTGATAATGACAGCTGTGATGTGGTTTTAAGCTTGAAGCTGGTGATAGAGTTGTTCTTTTAACCTGTGATATTGGTGATGTTTTACCCGGTTATATTTGGATCTGGAGGATAAGCTGTGTATTCTTCAAATGTGTTTTTCTGAATTGTGTTCTGGAGGAATTACTGAAAATGAACGACTCAACGAACGTTTCCTCAAAAAGGAATGCTTCAGTCGGAATAGTAACTTTGTTGATGGTCACAGATTGGTATGTTGAGATTTGTACTGACATTGAGAAATAACTATAGGAATTATGTGATATTTATTTGATAGGGGTCGTTCACATATTACGTAATCAGTTGAGGGGGGGTTTCCGAAATATGTGTAGAACTGATTACGGAGGGGAGGGGGGTAAAAATGTTCAAAAAAATGATTACGTAATATGTGAACGACCCCATATGAGGAGTTATTTGAAATTCAAATAGATTATTAAGAAATCAGTAAAGTTTTATAAATTGATAGGCGTAATGTTAATGTTTGTATTACTAAAGATTGAAAATAAACTTGACAGATTCTCCTTTTCATTAACAAAAACACATTATTCGATTCATCTATTTTACCCTAAAAACTGCCGTATCCTCAACTTAATTATCTACTGTTTGGGTGTCTATAAAAAGATATAAGATCAAGATAAATTATATGATAACCTTAAATGAGCCAAGAAATTGCCGTATCCTCGCTCATTTTATGGAGCGTACAAGAAATGAGTTTTGAAATAATCTCGGTTTTGTATTATTTTGAATCCAACGCATTGTACTTGGAATTTTTAATGACAATGTACAATATCTATAGCTTTATGTTTACATTTTATTTCATCGTCAATGAAAAGAACTGCTTTTATTTTGTCCTATATTGACCTCAATTTTGCAAATGTAAGTTTGTCCCACTATGCAGGACTCAATTTTAAGATTTCGTTGCGAGGTAGTTATTTTGGAGTGGAGAACTGGGAAAGGGGACAAAACTTTCCTTCTTGTTGATAGATTTCAGTATCTCTAAACGATAGTCCATGAAGTGACTTGGCAAATTACCCAATTCCCCTCCGGTGAAAAACATTGAAACTGCGTCTGATCCCTTCTCAACCCCAGATATTGAGTAAATTGAGTGCATGTCATGGTCATCTGTCATTGGTCTGTTCCGTGTACACTTTCTGGTTCAATTCTCATAAAACTAATTGTGGATCCAATTGTTCGACATGTTGATGATAATATTGAATATTGCCATGTTCTGATGTTCACTCCGTCGGCCTCAGCAACAAAAACATTAGACACAAGTCATCTGCTGAAGAGATTTGATAGAGATCGCCCTCCCTTCACTTTTTACTGGGCGGCGCTCAGCAACAAGAACATTAGACACAAGTCATCTGCTGAAGAGATTTGATAGAGATCGCCTCCCTTCACTTTTTACTGGGCGGCGCTCAGCAACAAGAACATTAGACACAAGTCATCTGCTGAAGAGATTTGATAGAGATCGCCTCCCTTCACTTTTTACTGGGCGGCGCTCAGCAACAAGAACATTAGACACAAGTCATCTTCTGCTGAAGAGATTTGATAGAGATCGCCTCCCTTCACTTTTTACTGGGCGGCGCTCAGCAACAAGAACATTAGACACAAGTCATCTGCTGAAGAGATTTGATAGAGATCGCCTCCCTTCACTTTTTACTGGGCGGCGCTCAGTAACAAGAACATTAGACACAAGTCATCTGCTGAAGAGATTTGATAGAGATCGCCTCCCTTCACTTTTTACTGGGCGGCGCTCAGCAACAAGAACATTAGACACAAGTCATCTGCTGAAGAGATTTGATAGAGATCGCCTCCCTTCACTTTTTACTGGGCGGCGCTCAGCAACAAGAACATTAGACACAAGTCATCTGCTGAAGAGATTTGATAGAGATCGCCTCCCTTCACTTTTTACTGGGCGGCGCTCAGCAACAAGAACATTAGACACAAGTCATCTGCTGAAGGGATTTGATAGAGATCGCCTCCCTTCACTTTTTACTGGGCGGCGCTCAGCAACAAGAACATTAGACACAAGTCATCTGCTGAAGAGATTTGATAGAGATCGCCTCCCTTCACTTTTTACTGGGCGGCGCTCAGTAACAAGAACATTAGACACAAGTCATCTGCTGAAGAGATTTGATAGAGATCGCCTCCCTTCACTTTTTACTGGGCGGCGCTCAGCAACAAGAACATTAGACACAAGTCATCTGCTGAAGAGATTTGATAGAGATCGCCTCCCTTCACTTTTTACTGGGCGGCGCTCAGCAACAAGAACATTAGACACAAGTCATCTGCTGAAGGGATTTGATAGAGATCGCCTCCCTTCACTTTTTACTGGGCGGCGCTCAGCAACAAGAACATTAGACACAAGTCATCTGCTGAAGAGATTTGATAGAGATCGCCTCCCTTCACTTTTTACTGGGCGGCGCTCAGCAACAAGAACATTAGACACAAGTCATCTGCTGAAGAGATTTGATAGAGATCGCCTCCCTTCACTTTTTACCGGGCGGCGCTCAGCAACAAGAACATTAGACACAAGTCATCTGCTGAAGAGATTTGATAGAGATCGCCTCCCTTCACTTTTTACTGGGCGGCGCTCAGCAACAAGAACATTAGACACAAGTCATCTGCTGAAGAGATTTGATAGAGATCGCCTCCCTTCACTTTTTACTGGGCGGCGCTCAGCAACAAGAACATTAGACACAAGTCATCTGCTGAAGGGATTTGATAGAGATCGCCTCCCTTCACTTTTTACTGGGCGGCGCTCAGCAACAAGAACATTAGACACAAGTCATCTGCTGAAGAGATTTGATAGAGATCGCCTCCCTTCACTTTTTACTGGGCGGCGCTCAGCAACAAGAACATTAGACACAAGTCATCTGCTGAAGAGATTTGATAGAGATCGCCTCCCTTCACTTTTTACTGGGCGGCGCTCAGCAACAAGAACATTAGACACAAGTCATCTGCTGAAGAGATTTGATAGAGATCGCCTCCCTTCACTTTTTACTGGGCGGCGCTCAGCAACAAGAACATTAGACACAAGTCATCTGCTGAAGGGATTTGATAGAGATCGCCTCCCTTCACTTTTTACTGGGCGGCGCTCAGCAACAAGAACATTAGACACAAGTCATCTGCTGAAGAGATTTGATAGAGATCGCCTCCCTTCACTTTTTACTGGGCGGCGCTCAGCAACAAGAACATTAGACACAAGTCATCTGCTGAAGAGATTTGATTGAGATCGCCTCCCTTCACTTTTTACTGGGCGGCGCTCAGCAACAAGAACATTAGACACAAGTCATCTGCTGAAGAGATTTGATAGAGATCGCCTCCCTTCACTTTTTACTGGGCGGCGCTCAGCAACAAGAACATTAGACACAAGTCATCTGCTGAAGAGATTTGATAGAGATCGCCTCCCTTCACTTTTTACTGGGCGGCGCTCAGCAACAAGAACATTAGACACAAGTCATCTGCTGAAGGGATTTGATAGAGATCGCCTCCCTTCACTTTTTACTGGGCGGCGCTCAGCAACAAGAACATTAGACACAAGTCATCTGCTGAAGGGATTTGATAGAGATCGCCTCCCTTCACTTTTTACTGGGCGGCGCTCAGCAACAAGAACATTAGACACAAGTCATCTGCTGAAGAGATTTGATAGAGATCGCCTCCCTTCACTTTTTACTGGGCGGCGCTCAGCAACAAGAACATTAGACACAAGTCATCTGCTGAAGGATTTGATAGAGATCGCCTCCCTTCACTTTTTACTGGGCGGCGCTCAGCAACAAGAACATTAGACACAAGTCATCTGCTGAAGGATTTGATAGAGATCGCCTCCCTTCACTTTTTACTGGGCGGCGCTCAGCAACAAGAACATTAGACACAAGTCATCTGCTGAAGGATTTGATAGAGATCGCCTCCCTTCACTTTTTACTGGGCGGCGCTCAGCAACAAGAACATTAGACACAAGTCATCTGCTGAAGAGATTTGATAGAGATCCTCCCTTCACTTTTTACTGGGCGGCGCTCAGCAACAAGAACATTAGACACAAGTCATCTGCTGAAGAGATTTGATAGAGATCGCCTCCCTTCACTTTTTACTGGGCGGCGCTCAGCAACAAGAACATTAGACACAAGTCATCTGCTGAAGGATTTGATAGAGATCGCCTCCCTTCACTTTTTACTGGGCGGCGCTCAGCAACAAGAACATTAGACACAAGTCATCTGCTGAAGGATTTGATAGAGATCGCCTCCCTTCACTTTTTACTGGGCGGCGCTCAGCAACAAGAACATTAGACACAAGTCATCTGCTGAAGAGATTTGATAGAGATCGCCTCCCTTCACTTTTTACTGGGCGGCGCTCAGCACTCAGCAACAAGAACATTAGACACAAGTCATCTGCTGAAGGATTTGATAGAGATCGCCTCCCTTCACTTTTTACTGGGCGGCGCTCAGCAACAAGAACATTAGACACAAGTCATCTGCTGAAGAGATTTGATAGAGATCGCCTCCCTTCACTTTTTACTGGGCGGCGCTCAGTAACAAGAACATTAGACACAAGTCATCTGCTGAAGAGATTTGATAGAGATCCTCCCTTCACTTTTTACTGGGCGGCGCTCAGCACTCAGGATGATAATTAATCACTCTACACTCGACTGTCACGTGACTTTTTTAACACGTCCTCAAGGTGGCTCTGAAGGCATAATGACTATTCGAAACCCTAACCATCTAATGAGTGATCTAATCTGATCCTTGATTGACCATGTCAATCCGTCGAGATCGTTGCTCTGCGAAGCAGAGCAACGATCGAATGCTAGTTTGCGCGGCGCGTCGAAGCGGCGAAGTCCTCCAAATCTGATCCCAATCCTTATAAACTGAAGCATAATATGCTAAAACCCTAGGCCTATAAGTATATAGGCCTAGGGCCTATATATAACCCTAACGAGAAATTATACCAACTTCCTTACATGGTCATATCTTGTAGGTTTATAACCTACCAAGACGAGCGCCGAGTTGGACTCGTCGACGGTCTTGT